TTTTTTTTTTTTTTTTTTTTTTTTTTGAATATTCTGTCCTACGTTTCCCAATAAAAAAAGGTAGTGAGCAGAACAAATGAGTTGAACCAGAATTGCTTATTCACGACTCTTGTTTTATTAGTTTCTAGCTTATTTTTTTTATTTCTTAAAAATTGACCATTAAGTTTTGATACAAGAGGTATGTAAACGTGTCTCCATTCCTTTTAGCATATGGACCCCAGTAACTGCTTTTAGTTGGTCATAGATATTTGTGGTGTGGTAACTCCTTCAAAGTTTATACCAAAAACTTGGGCCTTGCATTTGCAGGAACAGATATGGCTCAACTTATATGTAGAGGTTGCAGGACATTGCTTATGTATGCACGTGGGGCAACAAGTGTTAGATGCTCATGCTGCCATACAGTGAACCTTGCACCTGGTACGGAGTTTTTAAAAGTATTTGAATGTGATAGAGCCCCCATATGTATTTGAGCTTTGATTTATTTAGTGAACTAGGGATAGCAGTAAGACTTGGGCATTGAGATGATTGAGTGATTGATTTTCTCCTGTAATTCTCTTGGTTCTTTTTCATTTCCTCATCTTTGCTCTCTTCCTTTACTTCGTACGCTCTTGTATTCTTCAAGGGAAAAAGTATATAATATCTTTTAAAGTAGGTTCTGCTTTGCTTGACAACAAAAAAATGGTTATGTTGTTGCTAGCCAATTTTCTCAAGCACTTCTGTTGTATTGCACTTTTTTTTCCAATTATTTCGATAAGGATTTGCTCTAAATCTTCTCATTATTACTATTGATGCAACCTAGAGGAATCGTTTCTTAGTTGTTTTTCTGGGATGGTCTGCTTGGGAAATGAAACCTTTCCCAATTGGGATGTGGGATCTTATTTATGCCAATTCTGGTCTTGTTTATGCTGGTTCCTGCCTTATGCTATTTATTATTAGATGCTCAAAGTTTTCTGATGTTATAGCAGTTAGCTAGGTTACTGAGTGCTAATGTTTGGGTGTTGTGACTATTTAAAAAAAAAGCTACGAACCAGGTGGCACATGTTAACTGTGGAAACTGTCGAACAACACTCATCTTTCCCTATGGAGCTCCATCTGTCAAGTGTGCGATTTGTCACTATGTTACTAATGTTGGTGTAAGTATAATTCATTTACTTCGTGTGGCTGTAGAAATTTCTAGATGTTCTTAGTTAGGTGAGTCAACTGAATGTCATGGGTTGGAAGTACTCTCTTGATATGAAGCCTTACTTTTCTTCCGTATGCCTCCATTGACCCCATTAACCCAAAGATTAAGCTGATAGGTTATAGTAAATTTAACACTCTCCTTAACTTGTGGGCTTGATAATTTGTAGAAGACCCAGCAAGTGGAAAACAATATTAATTGAGGAGGAAATGACATTATAGGGAATCAAACACAGGGCCTCCTACTCTTATTCCATGTCAATACCATAACATTTATAAATCACCAATTATCCCAAAAGGTTTAATTAATGGGTTATGAGAAATTTAATCTCATATCAATACCATAACATTTATAAATACCTAACTAGCAAGTTTTGACTTTGAAAAGCAACTTAGGCTAGTTTCGATGTGATTTGAGTAAAACTTGTCTAGCTTGAGAGGATACAACTAGATTTTGAGGTCCAAACTAAGGTGGTACAGTTTGTAGCAGTCTTATACTTGTTAAATTCCTAAATAATCATTTTTTTCTGCAATTGGGTTGATTGGAAATATCAAGGAAGAACTAAAATGTAGAAAACTTTAGAAACACGTAAGCATTCAAGACATTTAGTTTATGAACTTTTCATGAACCGGAAGTGGTACAATTACGATCTGTTAAATGCTTATGAATACATTTTATCGCCTGATATTTATTTCTGTTCTTCATGCCTTTTCCATTTATACCTCTTTGCAGATGTCCAACGTGAGGGTTCCTATTCCAGTGCACAGACGAAATGGAACAATTAGCTCTGGGATGCCCCCTGCATCATCAGTATGCTCTCAAGCTTTTCATTTCCTACGTCCTTCCTTTCAGGCCTCTGCGTGTGGGGGGCTATTATTTTTATTCTACGGCATAATTGATTTGGTATAACTATTTTCATTTGTTGCAGTCTCAGAGCCAAACTGTTGTAGTTGAGAACCCTATGTCTGTTGATGAAAGTGGCAAATTGGTAAGTACTCATGCTGTTCATTCGGTTGTTTTTCCTTTACCCTCCGGAATCGTCTTTCTCTGGTTCATTATGAACTACAGACTGTGTTGACTCTTAATATTCTGAACGATAGGTGAGCAATCTTGTTGTCGGTGTCACGACGGATAAAAGGTAACGTGGTGGAGAAGATGGTTGATGGCATTTACTATTATCGGTTTAAAAAGGATGGGAGGAAGCGATCTATATATATATATCTTTAGTACATTACTATACTGCTTGGGATATGAATATGGTTTTGGAAATTTCTGTATAGTTTGTCTCTGGATTTTCCCTCGAAGTCACCATTCATTATTGAGTCAACGTCAATTTGAGGTTCAGATAAGTTTTTACCCTGGGAATGTGATGTATATTGTGGACCAGAAGAATTGGATATATAGTGTGATTTTCTGTACCGAATCATTGAGCTGTCTCGCAAGTAAAAATATTATACATCCATTTTATCCCCCTTAGGTAAATGAGTATAAACCCTGTCTTGTAATTCTGTTTCCTTGATTGGTGATATGATATGCATTTCGAATTTCATTGGTTTTGTTCATATCTTTTAAGCATTCATCTCTCTTCCTATCTCTACTCTACTTTCTGCAGATTGTTTGTATCAGTCTACTTGCAACTACTAATTGTAAGGTTCCATTCTAGCTTTTCTTTCCTCTATTTCTGTTGTGATTTCCAATTCTGATTTTAATGCTAATATAATGATGTACCATATCCTTGATGATTTTGTACCGTTAAATTATCATATTTTTATATTATACCATTGAAGTGGAGTTATCATTTAGGAAATTTTATTATTTGGGGGTAAATTACCATATTTTATAAATAAATAAAAAAAAAAAAATAAAAAAAAGAGGCCCTTATGCAGGCTGCAATAGACAAAAGAGGAGACATAAGTCAACCCAGTTATTACCTCACTTTTGAATCTTAATCTTCATTACAGGACATTTACATCAAGAAATGAATGAAAAAATTGGTTAACACACCTCCAAATTATTCAAAAAGAAAGGAAGAAAAAAAGAGAATACATCATCCAAAACTCTCATTTAGTAGTATAATATGAGAACTTCCAAATTACTGAGAGAGGAATGTTGATAGTATGGCCTGCACTCCCAAAAAGTCCAATTCTTCCAAAGCTAGCAGTTGAGCTGTTCATCGTCGCATTGAAGAATATTGTTAGCTCTTGTTTCTTGCCACTCTCTATCGAAAATCGAGTTGGAGAGACCTTCAAAGAAATCCCGTAAGGGGCAGTCCAGCCAACTCTATAGAACTCAGGTCCAGCAATGTTGGTCACGGTTCGTTGCACGACTCTCGACTGGTTGAGTTTCGCAATCGTGACAGAGGGCAAGTTCAAATCAGCTCCATTGATGCTGGAATTGTACAGCCCGCAGTTCTGGGCTGTGTAGTTGAAGACCACAGGAAATGAGCCATTGATACCGCAAAGAAACGACATATAATCATCATAACCTACAACAAGCCAACTTGGATCGTGAATTTTACTACCAAAATGCTTTATGTTCTTCAACTAAATCAACTCAGTCATGATACTGTCCTGTTTATTTTTCAGAAAAATGTCAGTTAGACTGCTACATTTATGTCCAAATATCATCTAAGGCGGGTTAAACCATCATAGTGGATTCTATTGTGTGTCTATTATTAACAACCCAGCAGAGGTCAATCGGCTATAATGTTAAATAAATTACTTACTGGAGTCGAAGATCAACCCCGGGTCGAGAGCTGCAGTTGCATTCACAAAGCCACTTCCCATATCAAAAGGTGTAGCTGGAGACCGGTTCTGTTCGGGGTTAGCATAAGCACGCTGAGCCATGATCGGTCCACCGGTCTTGTCATAAAGAGAAGCAGTCGTCGATAGTGCAGAGGCAATGGCTGAAGGACTAAGAGTAGGGTACTTCTGCTTTATAAGTGAGGCTAGGCCAGCAATATGAGGAGCAGCCATGCTTGTTCCCGACATCATTGCAAAGTTTTCACCTGGAGAGTTGGTAAAAGTTACCATTCATGTCTGAGTTTTCACATCATATGCAGATCAAAACCGGTGCGGATGCTTACCGAGAAATTCGACAGAGTCCGTGGCAACAGAGCTCCAGGCAGCCCATATGAAATTTCCAGGAGCAACCAAGTTGGGCTTCATAATATCAGAATCATCAACAGAACTGTCTTCTGGATCTGGTCCTCTAGCAGAATAATACATTATCTGTGGAGCAGTAGAGCTATAATTTGCCTTTAATCCTCCAGATATGCTACCAACAGCTCCAAATTTAGAAATTCTCTTTGTTAATCCATTTACTTCCAAAGAAGAGTTGTAGTAACGAAGAAGAATCTGTCAAAGAAACCATGAACTTCAGAACCAAAGAACACAAACACAAACACAATCCATTTTAAAGGCCCACTTTGATGCAAAAAGGCTCTGGCAGGGCTCTCATGTTGATCCAATAAAATAAAATTGTCAATAACAAGGTAGAGCACACAACCTTGGAATCTTCTGGTGATGAAATTATGATGCCAGGCATCCTCATTGGAGTTGGGTTAAGCCGAAAGCTTAACACAAAAGAATCCATATAGAAGATGACCCCAGCAGCACTCAAGTTCTTCACTGTCTGTGAAGCCTGTTTAACCGTGGAAAGCCCGAGCACGAATCTGATCGAGTAGCTGCATATTAAAAGTTTCCCTTTGATCAGATCCCGATCAAAGTTACTGGAGTCTTGGCATTCACTCACGTACATGTCCTCTGAAACATGTGTGCCATTTTTCAATGCATGCATTGCAGCAATTAGTTTGTACTTCGTGCCATTATAAGTTCCAGCTGAATACAAAGGTAAGAATTAGATTTATCTTCCACAAAAACAGGATCATCATTAAAATGCAGGCAAGGAAAACAAGAAACGTACGTGCAAGTCCAACGCCCGGGATGGTGACGTTATTGCCAAGGGTTATAGAGTTAGCATAGGTTCTATCATGAGAAGCAGCACCAACAGTAAAGATCCATGGACTGAAGGAAGACATGCTCTTTGGTGCTGGTCCAGTATTGCCAGCTGCTTGCACAACAAATATACCAGCCTTAACTGCAGAGAGCAGTGCCATGTCTATGGGATTAAAAAACGTCGCAATGCCAGGGGGCCGCCTATTTGGTGTGATTGATAAACTTATTATATCCACCCCATCTTCAGCAGCCTACAAAGAAAACCATAGATTACTATATACCACAAAACACACACAAACAAAAGAATAGAAAGAAGATGAGGCCTTCACGACACCTGATCAACTGCAGCAACGACATCGGCAGCGAAACCTCCAAAGCTTTTGTACAGTGCCTTGTAAACAGCAATGCTGAATAAAGAAGCATAAGAAAGCAGTCAACACAAGGAAGCGGATGCAACGCATGCAGTAATGTGTACTTACTGTGAACGAGGGGCCATCCCACTAGCATTTCCAAAGTGATGTCCAGCAACTACCACTGGAATGCCATGGTTTCCAGCAGCAATTGAAGCTGTGTGCCTACAAATATTAGTTTTACTCCAATTACTACATAACCTTCTGTATAGCCTTATTTTCATAGTTTCAAACAACTGGTCATCTATGTTAGTTTGATCAACAAACATCCAAACAAAGAAAGAAATACATACGTGCCATGTCCATCGACATCAAATGGCGATGCATAATCCTGAGATGCATTAAATATTCCCCTTGTTATAGCTGATGCTGCAAAATGGCGCGCTCCAACAAGCTTCCGATTGCATGATCCAGACGGGAAATCAGGAGTTACCTCACAGATTCCCGAGAAGTGGGCCGGAATGGGAAACGGATTATCAGTCAAATCATCAGCAAAGCTGGGGTGTGTAGGGTCAATGCCAGTGTCGACGAACCCTATCACGATCCCAGCTCCAGCAGATTCATAGCCACCATCTTGAGACCAAGCTGCCTGCGGCAACCCCAAGAACTGTGGAGTATGTGTCGTAGCTGTTCTAACAGAGAAATCCATGACGACATTTTCCACCTCTCTCCTCTTTGAAAGTTTAGTTGCCTTTCAATTAAAAGAAACCAGTAAATCAAAACTTTCTTGGTGCATTTTTAATTTCCTCTGAGCAAATTTTATCAGATAAACACAAACAATCAAAACCATCATACTTTAAAGTAGGGAAACAATGATGATGAAGCAAAAAGGGAGGGAACATATGACAATATCGTACCTGTTCTTCAGTAACAAACACAGCAAATCCATTGATCAAGAAATGGTAACTGTAGAGCTTTAGATATTTCTCCCCCTTCAAGACCCTCTTCAACAATGAATCGTGAACTCGGGCTATATAAGACCTATATCTTCCATGTTTTCTTGATATATTTCTAAATAAATAACATAAAAGCAGTAAAGTTCAAAATATAATTTTAAGACATAGCAACAAAACCTGTAAGAGAATGAAACAGATTAACCAGAAGGATTGAACAACAAGTTAAACAAACAATAACTTCTATCAATGATCATCAACTGTGCATCCAGGGCATAGTTTTCTACTTTACATAATAACAAAACATTGATACACTACACAGAAATTAGCAAAATTATAGTTACCACGAGGCTATGGGATAGTTTTCATGGAATGAAACTATATACAACACAAATTCTGCATCCTCCGAACACCATGGAAGTACCAAAAGTTCAAGAACAAGAAAACTTTGACAGAGAGAGAAATACCCAGAAAAAGTTACCAATGTCAACTACTTTAAAGAGGACATATCAACAACTCATGTTTAAAAAAACTACACTAATTGCAAATGTCTTACACAACAAGCTTTCATCATATTAAGTCAAGTAAAGCTTGTATTAGAGAGAGGGGAAGAGAGTGATGGAGAAGTACCTTGGTTTGTGGATGCTTAATCCACCAGAAGTAGCAAGCCTAGAAGAAGTGGCATTCTGTCTAAGCTGAGCATAATAATTAGTAGAAGAAGGAGGTTCCTTAAGGGTCACTATGTACACAGCTGTTGAATCTCCAAATTCATCCACACAAGATGCGCATAGAAACATCTCAATACAGACAACAACACAAAGCAAAGGTGCACAGTGAACTTTATCCATTAGGGGACACTAACCAACCCAAAACAATGCTCCCAATCTCTTTGAGTACTCAAATTGGAATAAGGGATGCTCCAACACGAAAGTAATAAACTCTAATCTACAGCCTAACAGTTCCAAGAAGGCAGTGAAAAAACAGCCATGAAATCTTCTCCACTCAAATGGGGAAGCGATAATAATGGCCAAGAAAGCAGACCCTTCTTCTTTTCGGTGATAAAGAAAGAACCCACCACTATTCTTCACTTTTTGTGCATCCGTTGAGAGAGTGAGAGAGAAGGTAAAGGAAGCGAATACCCAATCTCCACAAGCTTTCTTGGGTACTGTGAATTAGAACGTTTTGTTAACTCAAAGCCAAAAACAAAAGGGAAAGAAAATAGAGAGAAATACAGGGCAGAGGCAAGTAAAGACACAAAAATGTTTTCTTTGTTCTTATTCTATAATCAGACTGAACGGAACTTTATGGTGTTGGCCTGTAACTCAAGGAAAACGATTTCAGGAACAAGACCCATTTTTAATTCAAACAAATACATCTGATATCAAACAAAACGGCTCTTAATATGGAAGTCTCGTATTATAGCAATGACCCACATCCAAACACAAGTTCAAAATTAAGATTTCATAATAAAGATTGAATTTTTATGTATGTAATGTAATAGGGCAAGAACTTCCATGGAATTACAAAGTGGGGTACGTGTGAGAAATTGATTGGTCCTCACCCATAAATTTTGGCCCTTTTCTCTTTACTTCATTTTCTTTTGTCCATTTGCTCCCAACGTTCGATTTTTTGAAGCTCACCCGTGAGAGAGAGAGAGAGTTGTAGAGAGAGAAAATGTGGATACTGGTTTAGTTTTGTGGGTGTATTGTGGGACGGTGGAGTCTTTAGGCGCTCGCACGTGGCAAAAGTGTATTTTATTTAATTTAGTTTCATAATTAGCAATTATAATGGCCATATCATCTCATACATTGCTTTTATGAAAATCCACTATTACTTTTCCTCATTTTCTGACTTCAATTCAGGACCATCTTTTCTTTTAATCATTGTCTTAAAACTTTCACATATATATCAAACCAAATTAGTGAGTAATATTGGACTTTATGGTAAAAATTGTAAATTAACGGTGTATTATTAGTTGAAAAGGAGTTTGATCATGAAGATCACAATATGGCCAAACATATCTACTTCTTCTGTTTGAGCATACTATTGGTCATAAATCCTTGAGCACTCCTATGCATGAATAAGTAAAGATATCTATCGAGATGAAAAACTTGCTAAATCTATTAATGTGGAATGAACAAAATATATATTTGACGAGTACTGTTGTACATGTTGTTGCTCTATTTAAACATGCTTTCTATTCTCCTTTCTGCAAAGTACTTATTCTATTATGCTCTTTTAAAAGAGAAAATGTAACTTTTATTAGGTATAATTAACTCATCCCACTTAGATTAGAATGAAGTTGGTTGGAAGGTGAAAAGGAGGGGCAAATTAACCATTTTAACTTCACTTTAGGCATCGGATTCTAAAAATCACCATTTGGTGTGAAAATTTATGATTGTTATTTCATACTTATGGCATCAAAGGACACTTTATCTTTGTCAAAGCGGTAGGCCCAACAAAAGGACATCATAAGGCAAGCTGACCATCTCTAAAGCACAGATGTAGTAATTTTGATGTAGTATTGACTGTCTCTAAAGGAACCTGATTCCACAATCATTTACATCACTTCCTCTTTGATATTTCATTTATAATCTTCGCCCCATGTAGAGCAAACAATTTATGTTGCTCACCAAAAGAAAAGTGTTAAAAGTTGAGTACCCTTTCTTTTCTTCATTCATGTTATAATAACATTTGGCATTATATGATATTTACAGAGAAAAGATGTTTTTGATCAATTATTTTTCTTTTAATTATGATTTTTTTTCTAAAACCCATCATAAATTTTCAGCCAAAAACCTAAAAGGAACATACAAATTATAATGTCGCAACATAGAGAGACATTGCTGTGAAAAAAAGATCATCAAAAGCATTTTTCTTTCAACACTTAGATTTCCCCTTCTCAATTGCCCCTCACCTTCCGATTAAAAGAGTATATGAACTTGGGTGATTGAACTATACTCAGTACCGTTGAAGGTAAGAGTCAGAAGTTTGATTTTTCTTTTCTTTCAAACAACGTTAATATATATAAATTTACGGCCTTACTTGTTTCCAAACACCCGGCTTGCATTTTTTACAACAGAACACAACTAAAGAGTGTGTAGCCCAGAATTTTGAATACATACAAAACAAAGCATATGGGTCCACTAGACGAATCCTGACCTGTTCATATCTACTTCTGGTGGCACAGAGCAAAGAGAGTGACAAGCAAAGAGAGTGACAAAACATGGCGTGAAAATATGGCCATACCTTTTACAACTTAGATCCTAGTTGGTATATGCCCCCCAAAAGGTGGAGCATACTTTGATCCAAGCATTCATGGCATTTGTCTCCCTGACAAAGCAAGAAAATTTTGGATTGAGCAAACTACCATTGTTATATAGACAGTTTAGACTAATATAGAGTCAAAGAACCTTTGAAGATACGGTTCTCATTCATGCTAATTGGAAGGTATTTTTTTCCATAGAAATCCTTTGGCTGGCTTGAGATGTTGCTTCTTCCTCCTCCTTTGTAATCCATCCTTCAATCAATCTTTATTACATTTGTTTTAGAGGAGAAAAAAAATGTCGTATATAGATTTTCTCCTTTTTAACAGGATAGAGGTCCTAAAATACATAACCTTCAGTTCGTACTATATGGGTTTTAGGTCCGCAAGTAATTGAAAGACCTACATAATGCCTAACACAGATTAAAAAGAGGGGAGCAAGCGAATCTACCTAGAGACATGGCGATCAGGAATGGGTAACTCACATTAAAATCCTGCACTCGAACTACATCTAATTGTTAAATTGCAAAATGAGGGCCACAATTTGCTCATAACAGTACATTGTCGAATCCTACAGCAGCATCAACACAAATTCAGACAGATGAACCAAGCTGTATCCCCCTGGCTAGTGAAACGCAGGTTGAACCAACATAAGATAATGTCCACTGAACGTCTCCACAGATCTTCACATGTAAGTATGTCTGCAACAAATACCGATCTGAGTTATTGAGAAATGTTGAATCTCAGATGGCTGTTAAGAAAAATTCAAAAACTTGAGATGACAAAAATTTCCCCTAAAGTCCTGCAGAAAAATCATCTTGGTTAACAACCTGGTAACAGCCTTTACTACCCCAATATACCTATAAAGCATTCAGATCTTGTAAACAGGGGGCACATTTTAACAACAGGGTTGCTGGGATAGAGAAAGCGGAAAAACAAACAGTTTCAGCACAGAGAAACCAATGAGACAGCTCCCCTAAGTGATAAATTAAACATACAATTCAAAGTGTCATCAAGGAATCAAGAAATACACGATTATTAGTTCTTTTCCATCCTTATTAGAGGTGTCCATTTTACCTGAGGGGCCCAAACGGGGAGGGGATTCCCCATTTAGACGGGGAATGGGGGGAGGAGTGGAGAACATTTTTTACCGTTAGATAAATAGGCCAAGGAGTGGATTATATTCACATCTACCATCTATTAGGATTTATTAGATTTTTTTACAATTTTTTTAATAAACGGAAAAAAATTACTTGGAGAACCCAACCTAGCAAATTCCTCGCCCTGATTCTTGCAAAAATAAATAAAAATTTTCAAGGGGATAAGGAATGAAATAGGCGACAAGAATGGGGACAGGGAAGGCTTCCCCGTCCCCGCCCCATGGACATCTCTGATCCTTATCAATAAAACCATACAATTTAAGTTCATAACTAATTTTCTGAGTCAATGACTCAATTGTGGAAATTAGGGGAAAATATCAATAGAAATGTGATTGCAGAAATATTAAAAAGAACAAGATCTCCCACTGAAGCATCCTTACTTTCGATGCCTGGAAAATCCCAACCTCATCAAAAACAAGGGATATCTATGAACTATGAAGCTGAGAAATAAACAACTTCTTGGAGGAAATATTCATGCAATACAAAACAAAAAACAATACCCTTGCAGATTTCCATTCGAGAAGGATGTTTATAGTCACAACTTGGAAAACGTAAGTCACGCTGATTATTTGTAGGAACATTCAGTCAAACCATTTAATCTTCATTGTAAAAATCTTTCTTTTATGTAACAAAAAGTGTTTGCCTGTTGAAGGATCTGTCAGGGAACTTGGAAGAAACCTCAAGAATGTTGAGTTTTTCCTACAGACCCACTTTGGCATTCTTAAAAATATCATAACTTATTAAGGAACCAGAAAAGCAATCGTATCCTAATCACAAAGCAATGAAGAAAAAACCTACCATGAGAAGCTATACAAGTGCAAAAAAACAAGCAACAGTATCCTAACGCCTGAACAAAAAAAGACCTGACAATGACAAAAAGTAGACAGGGAAGAAGATTTGATGTATCTTTTAAGATAGCTGTGTTCTGGCAGGGGTTTTCCTCCATCCCTTGCCCCTGGGATGTCCCTTTTCCTTTTTTGGATAATTTTATTACACAAAGTTTCAAATAAAAAATGAAAGAAAGAAAAAAATATATATATTATGTAACTTTCTTCTCAGCTTACTACATCTTTTCATCTACGCATTGTTTCTAGGTTTGTTGTCAGTGAAACATTGCTGCATCAAACTTTTGGCATCAAGCGTTATTCAAGCAGATAGGGTGAGTGTTTTTATTCTCTACTAATAAAACAACCCAAGAGGATTACAAAAAACCTTCCTAATTGGAGTCACAGGTGTTATTAAAAAAAAAAAAAGGACTAATCCGAGTTGATTGGGTCAGTTTTAATGCATAATCTGTTTGATTTATAAAACCAATTAGACAAGTTGGCATTGGAAAAATCCTTCAGCAGTTATTATGTACAGTATATTTGTTAATAGTTGAACAGAATCATCAAAATTTCATGGACTAAATTGTTACTCAACAGAAAAGTACGTACCAGATGTGTTATTTAACCAAATAAATACAATAGAGATAGGGTACTGCTAGGTCTCATTGGGTTCTCAAGGGAAAATTCTAGAACTGAACCACCTAAAATAGACTCCCAAGAGGAGGATAATGTCAGAAAAACTAACACAAGGGAATGACGAGACATCCGTTCCTTTAAAGTGAAATAAAAAAGTTCTAATCTTGATTTGTAAATTGAAGAAAATAAATAATTAAAAGACGAACCCATTAAGACAATAAAGCTTCTCCACCTCAACACTGTTCCCCAGACTTCCCTTGGAAAATCCTAAAGCTTCTCTAGCGCAAAGTAGCCAAAAATGATTAATTCAGATGAACTTATCCTTGCCAGAGAAACTAATTTCGGAGATACGTTAAAACAAAATCCTTGTTGCAAA